GTCCTACATCCAAGCCATTTATGAAAACATTAAAAACTCCCTAAAACTGAGCCTAAAATTTCAATGAGTCTTAAGCACATCTGTGTTATACCAAGTGAAGACTTCCTTTGCTTAAGGTAGGGTTGTATGCATCTCTAAGCGGATCAAATTAGCTAGGTTTTTCCAGCTAATTTTCCTTGCATAATGACGACTGCATTTTGGTAGCCTACTGAAAAACACAATACCTTCAGCTGAACAATTCATTCCAATGAGCTGTACAAAAAAAACCAACAACAAACCCACATCAAAACACTGTAAGTTTCTGTATTGTGTCACAGGCACCTACCTTCATAGCTTTCTGCAATCTCTCTGCAAAAAAAGCCGGCGTGTTCTTCAGGCACTTAACTGCAAAAAAGAAACAGTATTAAAGAAATCAGGTATTCATCCTCAGTCAGAACTCAGAGTCATTTTTTGAGCTGACCCTATGTTTTTACATAAAGATATACTTGATACAACGCAGTTTCCACCCCTTCAGTTAGTCGCTGAAGTGATTTTTTAATCCAAACAGGAACTGCAATAAAGAACCTACTACACTTCATGGCTCAAAGCAAACTTTTCAGTCACTAGAAACCATCAAGCATGAAGCAGCCATAATGAATCTTTAAAGTCTAACGACCAGACTCTTGCTTATGAGAAGAAAAGAGGGGTAAGTAGGGGGCAGAAGGCTTGAAGAAACACATACTTAGTGGTGCTCCTGACTTTTTCCTAACTTAAGAATTTTTAGGCCATGCATCTGCAAGGTATGACAAACTGAAGTCCCACCCTAATACAAGTTGGGAAGCCACCTGTGATAGAAGCTTCACCCTTACTTTAGTTATACCTTTTTTTTTTGGCCACAAAGTTCACCAGGACTCCTGAAAAATTCTTGATATGATCATTTAGTAATGACTGGATTTTATATTTAATTAGCACAGTTCATTAGAAATCTGAAAGAGCAAAATCTAAATCAAATTACTGTCATGTTAATCAGGATAACGAAAGAATCCCTCATCACTCATCAGCATTAAAAACCATACATACAAGTAAACAATCATGCAATCTGTGTCAAACTACACAGAACACAAACCACACCTGACTTATATTTTACTGCACAAAAAGGTATCAAAAGCAATCACATAAAATCAGAACAAAAGGAGTAAACCTAAATACGTATGTCACAGCAACACACATTCTATACAGGAAGAAGTACTTTTCTGAATAGGAAAATGTAGATGAGAGATAGCAGTTCATCACACACAATTGTCAATGATATGTATAATACAATTCAAAAACAAATGATGAATGAAATGCATGTTTCTTCATCACTATATTTAGCTAAAACAACACACTTGCACTTTAAGATGTTTGAAGATGTTATTATAAGTTACCAGTTGTACAATCCAGAAAGCTTTAAAGAAAGCAAAATTAAATATTTTCAATTAGAAATTTTTTTTCCTGAAAATAAGGTTCACAGAACAAATAACGCTAGCACCACTGACTGATATATATATGTATATATATACATATATATACATATATAAATAAAAAACACCAACCCAAAATCTATTCAATAAAGGAGTTATTCAGTGAATATTTAAGACAATTCTTGTTCAAAAGGCTGCTGACTTATTTGCAAGCTACAGTCCCAATTCTGAATCTGTATCTACATGGAGACCTGTCAAGTGACAGCAAAGCTCCATGAAATCAAAGGATTTCCAAACTCTGACAGTATAGTTTCTTTACCGAGGCAATCTTTTTCTACAAACACTGGGAAATATTTCTTTTCCCCAAGTTTGGTTTTCTAGCAATACTATTTGAGGTGACAAATTCTGAATCCTGGAAATGTATCACATCAACAGAGCTGGACCCCATTTCAGTCATTACAAGGCCACCATAGTGACAGCTTGGCCAAGAAGACTAAGAACAATAGTTACATAGTTCACCTATGCACAGGACAGGAGTGAAAAAATGAGGCTTTTAAAATTGATACCTATTTTGCAAGATTTTGTTAGAAACTTCCATAAAAAAAAAAAAAGCTGTTGCAGCTGAGCCAAATGTCCTTTCCCATCTTGTTTCCAAGTGATGCAAAGTACATTTTCCTATTTATTTCAGTAGGAGTTTTTCTGGGTTTTTTTTTGTTACATCACTTTTCTAGTACTACCATATTAAAAACCAAGGAACAACACTTTTAAAGTGGCAGCTCTAGATACCAGAGTAAATTCACAGGAATAAACAGAAAAAGAAATGGAGATGTAAAGAAGCAGTCTTGTCTAACAGATGAGAGACAAAAGACAACAGAGATAGAGGCTGACAATTTTATCTAGAACAAAACATTCCAAATAGAACTACTGCACAATTTGAGGTCTTGTCCCAACCTCATAGAAACTAATGACTATCTCCAAACGGACAATACTAGAATTGAGGTAAGAATCTTTATTCTTCAGAAGTACTGGAGGCACTTAAAGACTTAGCAAAGCTGTAACCACAGGAAACGTGGAAAAAATAATCCCTTCGTAATCAAATTTAAGTTTTCTTTCTACTATAAACAGGTTGAGATAACTAATTAGAGGTTTAATGCCTGTATTTTGCTTGATTTCCAAAGCTGTGCCAAATATTCCATCCTCACTGACTCAGTGGTTGGTACAAGTTCTTATCACTTCTTAAAACAATGCCAAGTAGAGTTAATGATTCTCTCTCCATTTTAACATGTGAAATTTAAATTCTGCAGCTGCCTGAAGCAAAAGCTTCATCTGTCATTTTGAGGTGAATTAAGTTCCCTGCTTTACTAACCACAAGTGACTTCACAGAAAGCTCAACATAAAAAGCAGAAAACTGGAATTATTAACTAAGAACATCATCCTTAGCTGGAGTCCCAGATGCCACCATCTCAGTCAGTTGCAGTGGAATACCAGGAATGAACTTGCTAAGACAACACATACCTACTGCCAGCATGCCCTTTTCCAGGTCTCCAGACATTTCACGACATATGCTTTTTTCAATGTCCCGGTTGCACATCCTCTGGTACTCGCTGAAAACTGTTAATGGAAGAGAAAGATTTCAGGAGTCAGCCTCACAAAAAGAGGTGGCACTGGTGCACGCTGGATGGCCTCATTTCAATCGCACTTCTCAATTTGATATTACAGTATACTCACACAAGTTTTAACATCTCAAAGACTAATATTATGTTATTAACCATATTGTCCCATTTATATGTCATCATGCTCCTTCTAGCTTGTCTAGTTCTGTCCTTATTTTTAAAGGGCTAAGCCAAGAAACCACTGTAAGGGAAATAGTGAAAATTCTTCTAGGAAAGCTTTGGTGTCAATAAAATTAAGAAAACATTCAGGTTCTCACATACACACCCATCCCTTTCCTCTCCATATGGAGCACACTGCACAAGTTCCATGTAGTTAGTAAAACACTTCCGCCCACTATAGACTGATGTAACACCAAATCACCAGAAAGTAAAAGGGGAAGGGAAGGATTGCAAATGTCTTGTGCACACACAAGTATGCAAAATTGCAACAATTCTAGTTTTTCAATTGTTTCATCAGAGAAACATTTGAACAAGTATGACCTCTGCCTGCTCTGATATTTAAGAAAGGTGATCATAACACGCAGCTCCTGTATGCCCTTTCCCTCAGCAGAATTCACTCTGCTTTTCATTGAGGTATCGTTACACTCGTTTTACAGAGGGCGGAAATTCAGGCACAGAGCAGTGTTGTACATTTTTATCATTACATACAACAGAATCAAGTTACTGTTTATGTAGAGGACACCATTACCTGCTTGAAGGTGGGCCCTGCTTCTTGCACACAGAATAGCATTGAATTTGGATTCATCGGTTCCTAGACGGTTCTCTCCAGCTGCATATAGCTCCTAAACACAGAAAGGAATTCACACTTCAGTACTCAGAAAAGCAGTCAGGCTGAAAATCTGAGTTACAAATCTGCTTCCTTACAGCCTCTCCTCCTTTTATACTTATTTCTTCGTCTATGTACTGCTGGAAAATAGGAGCAAGAAACAAACAGCAACTAGTTCTAAGCTTCCTACAATCTGCTATGCTTGCAGTCTTCCTAGCTTACTGATGCATAAGTGCTCAAACACAAAAGCTCCAGATTACTAAAGGGGGGAAAATTGTTTTAGAAGTACCTGAAAACTGTTCTTCCTAACAGGGCTTACGTTTGGCTCTCTAGGTATGTTCTGGGACATTCATGCCTTTTTGCTAAGGTATACTATGTGGAAAGCTAATTATATTACTATTTATATGATAGTGTGCTAAAACGATCCAGGGTTTTCTCTTTGCTATGTGGTGAAATGGAACACACACAAAAACATAATGGACCTAGTTAACTCTTGCCCTAAGTGCCCTATTTGCTGCCAAAATCCAGGTGTTGAGTAGATTAAAATTTAATCCACCTACGTATCACCTCAAATCTCTTTGGAGCATTCCCTTAATAAGCAGGATGGTGGAGTCACCCAACACCTGGAAAAGCCAGACAGCTGACAGAATAAGAGACAAAAAAACCCCCTATGGACTCTATTCCCAAGAGCTTCATCTCTGTAATGGAGTTACATGGCTGTAATGCTCTGTCAGGGCTTTTCGTATCAATTCCATCCCGTGAAACATAAGCACTACATCAGGAAAAGTCATAAGGTGTCCAAAACTAAGAGTAAGCAGAAACCACACAGTCAAATTCCAGCCTGTTGAGTTGACTATACTTAGATATGATGGAAGAATTTCTACTGACCTGCACATCTTTTTGGACAAGAGACATGTCAACAGTTGTGCTTTCATCTCTGTTTCCCTGAAAGAATTTGAAGGTACAAATGTGTTACTGGTGGAGGTTTTGTTTGTCTGCTTTTGGGGTTTTGTTTGTTTGTTTTAAAAAACTACAAACATACACACAAAATCCAAGCTCCAAAATCTCAGCATGCAAGTACCTGAGAAAGTGAAATTAAAAGCCTCTGAAAGTGTCCAGATGTGTCACTTTTTATTGCTTCCTCCAGAGTTTTCTTAAATTCTGGAAGAGAGACACAGTCCATCACATACAACCTTGTTCATTTCATAAATTCATATTGTCAGTCAGTGATTAAGGAAGAAAAGGAAGACAATTTTGATGGAACCGTAACAAAGCTAACCTGCTTTATAGACCCTGTTGAGTTCCTGAATATGCTGATTACTGCGAGAAGCTAAGATTTCAATGAGACAGTTTTCATCTGTGCCAACGCCCTGAAACAAAGCATAAGGAGAAAACACACTCTTCAGATTCTCATCTTACTTCTACAGCCTAGTATAAAAGAAATGTAATAAAATTGTATAACAAAATACAATTCAGCATATAATCTTGTCATAGAAGTCAAAGTAGTTTAAATGCTACTTATAATGTTTTCAAGACAGAGATACGTATTAAAGATACAAATTGAACACATAACTAAAATAACTATGAAGACAGAATTTCATTTTAAAGTGCCATCCTTCACACCAGATTTTAGACATTTTAAGAATCAATTTTTTCTACCGTTAAAGATGAAATTGTTAATTATAATATGTAACTTTCACTAATAAATAGCAGTTACAATTACAATACAGCTAATATTATTCTTCCTCCTAGCTACTTTAAAATTGCAGGCAAAGAACGTGTAATATACGTACTGACTCAGTAATGGAAATATTTATTTCACCTTAATTTAAACATTGTCTTGAAATACAAATGTTTGATCAGTTTTTATTTTAAAAAACTAAGTGTTTATAAAATAGTCTGATTGCTTTAAAGTGAAAGTATACAATACTTCCACAGTATTTTAGAAAAGGTTTAGCATGGGCTAGGAAAATACACTTTTTGGTGGGGGAAAAGATTAAAAGAAGGTACACCCTACCCAAAATCTTCATGAACCTAGTTTTCTGAACTATTCTTGAGCACTGAGTGTAAAGTCACTAGAAACTCTAAATTAAGTGGGTTTATATAATCAGTTCCATCACAGCTCAAAGCAAAAACCCAGAAACAAACGCGATCCATGCACTGACTGGCTTAGAAGAGAACTGCCTCAGTGGCTTACTCAAGACTATGTAATAAATGAACCTCAGAGACTGTTAGAACTCAGTTTCTGCCTTTTTTTTTGGTGTATTTATTAATATATTTTTGTTACAACACAAAAACCTATTAAATAGTCTTTACCTTTAACCTAGGGGAATAACATTTCTCAATTTTACTATCATATACCTCCAAGAAATGGGGTACACATCAGTCAAACAGTGGGTTGAGTATCTGGACGGAGAGGAGGTCATGTAAGTTCAAGTTTTTAAATGACTAACAAAAATTTTATCAGCTCAAATATTTCCTCTATCTTATAAATTTTTATCTCCTACACAAACCTTTATAGCTTCCTTGATTTCATAAGCATCAAACATGACAGGTGTCTTCATCATTGCTAAGATTGTCCTCTCAAAGTTACCTGATAGCTCAGACTTGAGATCCTTGATCAAATCCTAATGAGAAGTAAAAACAAAGAAAAAAAAATGCATAAAGATCAAAACTGACAAATATAAGCACCAAAACTGTGCAGTTTAATTAGAATTCTTTGTGCGTAAGCATCAATAATTTCTCTTCAAAGTGAAGCTATTCCACTTAACAACACTAAAACCAGCATAATGTAACATGTGTATCTAGGTAATTAATGCCCAATGAAATAGACTGCACAGACCAAAGAGTCAAAGTAACCATTTAGCAGAGAAACTGCTTTATATGTTTTATCTGAAACACTGCATGAAGAAATCAAGATTGAGTAAAAGCAGAACCCTGAACAGGTTGTGACTTGGGAACCATCCTCCTCTTAAGCAACTTCCAATCTTTTTTTCCAAACACTAAGTCTTCTGATTCTTAGTGAAGGAACATAGGCTCCTATTTCTTCTTCCTTCTGTTCTCATGATGTATTTACCTTTCCATAAGCTGTTTTGAAGGACAGGATGATCTGCTGCCTTTGTTTGTTTGAACGACTTCCAAGACAATCGATAATCGCCTGCTCATCAGTTCCTGTACATGCACACAGACACCACAGAATAAGCACGCGAAGACTCAGCTTTCTGTTCCCATTTGATCCTCTCTCTTCTAAACCCATTCAAAGGATACGTACGCCTTTAATCCATCTACAGTATCTCCTCTTGCATATGACTACAGAACTTCAAGCTCCATTCCCAATCACAAATACAGTAAGAACACAAAAAACCCCAACCCAACCCAAATACCACACTCATGATGTTGTTTATGCCTACCTGCACTTCCACTAATTCTTCTGATAACCAAGGGCAACGACATGTGAACTAGCCCACTGAGTACACATGTAACAATGGAGAAAGGCATTGCTGCATAAAAGCTGCAACTCTAGTTTTAACTGAAATATAAATCTATAGACTGCTCACCGAATCCCTTCATGGCCTTCCTTAAGACTTCTGCATCCTTCAGAGGGTCAAATCCCGGTGCATCGGTGATTGTGCCTCGGTTTCCATGCTAAAATCAGACCAAGTTGAGTTGCATATTAGCATTAATCAGTGAAAGACTGTGTTTTACTACTTAGAAAAGATAACCACTGCTACCATTTTCTTTTTTGTTAGAAAAGTAACATCTAAAAATCAAAAAAACCCCACCTGAAACAATTTGTTCATTTCTATACCCAAATTATGAGAAAATGCAAGGTCACTAAGGTTCACTGATATTAAATCTGCTGTCCAATTAATTACAGTTTGATGAAACTGTATATACAACTGGCAATACTTTGTTAAGTTAGGAAAGGCAAATTTCATAATATTTGAATTCACATCAAATCTTTCTTCTTGGATAATGTGGTAAACCAGCATTTGTTTCAAATCATATGAACCTATATTGCTTGCATTTGGAAAGGATCCATCTCCCTCTAGTCAAAATTCTTTTCATGACTTTCTTTAAACCGAGCCTAAAATTGAACACTTATATACCCAATGAAAACGTAGAGGAACACATGCACAGTCACATCTCAAAACAAAAACACTGAATGCTCTTACTGTTACAGGAGAGACCACAGGCCCTGTAGTTCCTGGGTAGGAGGGCATAGACGGATTCACAGCTGGGCCTGGTGGATAATTCGGCATGGGCTGCTGCCCTGGGTAAGTTGCTGGTGGTTGTCCTGGATAGTTCATAGGCTGCTGACCAGGTGGTGGTGTGGGCTGGCCTGGCACAGGGCCGCCTGGGTATCCTGGGTAAGCTGGCATTCCCGATGGTGGATTTCCTCCAGGGGGAGGATACCCTCCGTAAGAGGGCTGTTGTCCTGATGCAGGTTGCCCAAAGCCACCTGGAGGGATTGGAGGATAACCCCCAGGTGTGGAAGGATACATGCCTTGTGGTATGTTTGTCCCTCCAAATGTTCCTGCCAGGTTGGATGCCTGCAATGACAGCCAATAAAGCAAGAGACAGGAAGGTGTACAAATGGTTGAGTTTCAATAATGCGCTTAACGCCATACAACTTCCCTCCCCACCAACACAGATAGGTAGTTCTGCATCTGCAAAAGAACTTTACAATAATCATGTCTTACTAGCAAGCAAGACAGAAAACCCCCTGTATTCGGTTGACTCTTGCTTTACTGGAATCATCAGCTGCCATACATCAAGAAGCAGAATCAACAGACACATATCTGCCATTGCATCCAGCATTACACACCACTCGCACGGAAGAACGCCAATAGCCACACAGTTCATGCTCTAAAACTTATGGCAATTAATCCCAGAAACACAAAACTATGCTTATCCCTTCTCTGTCCATGGCTGCCTTACATGACCACAGCATCATCTGAGTGCAGGAATTTACTATGAGCTGTTGTACGATGCACTAGATGCATTAGTAGTTTACAACTAGCAAGAGTTCCTGGACTACATTTGCAAAGACATCTGCAGAAACTGCCACAAAGATACTCCACTCCACATGCAGCATCATCTTCCCACGTGACACACTCAGACCCTCTTCTACAGAGGAACCAGAAGAACTGACATTTGACAGCTGCAGCGTTCTCTGAAGCTAGTTGTTGTGCATATTGCTATGTGCACCCTAGATAGTTTGTTGCTCATTTTGACTGCTGGCTGCCAAATCATCTCATTTAATCATTGCCTCAGAAAAGCATCTATAATGCAAATGCCCTCCTACAAACTGTGCATTCGTTAGGCAGCATAACAGATTTCTGAAGACTAAGTTGTCAGAAGTGCCACTCACTTCTAACTCTATGCAAAAAAAAAGAAAAGTCACATTGGAAATGTCTGCATTTTCTTCAATGTAAAAGGGTTTTACTGACATCTGTTGAACACCAGTGCTTGTAAGAGACAGCTGATCCCATATTCTTTTCAGGAAGGGGTCATTGATACCTCAAAATTGCACAACTTTATTCCTTATTCAGACTGGTCAAAATCCAGGTCAAAGGCAAAATCTGGACTGTGTGTGTCAATGTAAATCTATCAGCAGTGGATACTCAGTGTTAATCGTCTCTTGCACTATTGCTCTGCACAGCAAAAGCCATGTTATATTACTTTTACGTCCACGACTTTTGAAGTTAGGCTCTTAAATCAAAATTTAACTAGCAGTCTCTTTTCCTAAAATAAGGAATAGCTTGCAGTAACTGTTTTCTTCAATAGAAGATATTGAATGTTCAACACCTAAACAGACTAGACATAAAAGGCCCAGAACTCAAGTGATAAACTCAGTGGTAATGCCAGAAACACATCTTTGTACTTAAGAAAGTCCAAGTAAAACACATTAAATGAAAGCAAACTCACCATTCCAGCCATGTAGTTGGGATTGAACTGATTAGCATAGCCAGCTACGTTTTCTAGACCAATTGGAGGTGGATTTGAAGGTGGATAGGCAGCACCACCCCAAGGACTGCTACCTGAAATCAAACACAGCTGTGCTGAAACAAGAAACGGCACCTTTTTAAACTTATTCCTTACTACTTTACATTTCTAATGTAATGTCTGTTCAACACTAGTAGTTTGGGAGAAGGATAATCAACTGACGAGGTGCAGGGTAGCAGTGCAATTGTGATATAAAGAGAAGCTTCACTGGATATTTCTAATCACATTAGTTATCATTGGATCTATAAGTTCTCATTTAAAACAACTCTAAACATATTTGAAGGTTAACACTCAAGACTAAATCCTGTAAACACCGTATTTTGACTAGAGAGTAGCTTCTCTTAAACTACCAAGTTGTCTGGGTGTTCCAGTAGGAAGATATTATTAATTTCTTATAGGCTGCTAATTTGAGAGATGTCTACAGAGCACAACAATACATTCACAAATACCCAAGTCGCAAAACATGGCTGCACACAGCAGTACAATCTTGTCCACACAGCAGTCTAACGCAGCCGGAATATTCTGCTAAGAAACAAGATTTATCCTCCCAGGCTAGTTTGGCTTCTCACTATACACTGCTTCCCCTTCCCAAGTTAGCTTGCCGAACTCCACATGTCACCACACTCATATGATTCGAGTCCTCTCTTTCTACCAATAGTACTAACAACTGTGAAGTTCATTACCAACAACTATAAAGTTCACCCTGATACCAGGCAGTAGTTACACATTTTATCAGCTTTGTGTTATTATAATCGATATCCTTTTCAATAGCCCTCTACAACCATCTGCCTAAGAACAGTGAATTAAGGATAATGTCACAATTAAAGCCCTAATTTTTTTGTGGGATATAGTTTTAAATTGTGTGACTGATTCCTCCCCATACTCATTTTTCTCACCAGCTCCCTTCAAGACTCAGTACTGACAGGACACTGTTCCTTGACATTTATTGATTTTGGTCAAATTATGACCACCTCCTAGTGCTGTGTGCTTCATTCAAGATGAATGAAAATGGACCTTACATGAGCACATGGTAGAGCACCCACATTATATAAATCAGAATCCCCAGCCAAGATAAAAATAGGACTTAACAAGAGAGCACAGAAAATTTGAGTGAGTCAAGAAAACCCTCTGCAGTCTTGTTCTTCATCCACGCCACCTTTCCACTCCAGAAAGGACCACCACTGCCATTTAATGTTTACTTCATCTAAACAACTTACCTGGGGCTGCTGGTGGATATCCACCCGCTGGGGGATAGCCAGGATAACTCATTGCAAAGATCTGAAAAGTATGCGTGGTACAGTTATTTTCTGTAATGTTTCACTAATTACACTACATAAAATTAACAGGCAACATGTTTGCAGCAGCCAGTTACCAAAATTTAGACATAAACTGCACAAGTTGCACAGGCTTTTCCCTAGGAAATCTCTTCCCATTTCCTTTTTGCTGGACCAGTAAACACGTTCAGATATCTAAGCAGTTGTCCAGTCACTCCTCAGACTACTTTTCTTATTCATTTCAGTTACTACTTACTGCTCATTTTGTCTATTAGGTTGTTAAGGATGTATACTTGAAAATGCGTACTTTATTGCACTATTAAAGTCTCCAGAAGTTTGCAACTTATACAGAACACTCTTATTAATCAAGAGTAGAAAATCATCTGACAAACAAACCGCATTTTCAAGCGAATAATTGTATGAGAAGTGTTGGAAGGCATTTCAATGCAAATGTCTGCAAAAGTGCAGGGTCAGAGTAAGCAAGCAGAAAGGACACACTTCATGCTTACAGCGTTGCTATAAAATATGAAGGGTTTACTGAAAGGATAAGATCATTAGAACAAATTGGATCTTTCAGAGTTGATAGTGCATCTGTCAGCACAGAAGTGCACAAAGGCATTAGCTGTCCAAACCAGAAGTGGAGGTCAGAAGGGAAGGACAGCTAAATGAAAGACAAAATGAAAATTAGTTTCCAGAATACGGAAAGCCTTAAACAGAACAACTATGAGGAAGAATGGTAAAAGTAATTCAAGGAGCTTGTTCTAGATGAAGAAAATATCCACACTCTTAACTTTTTCAAGGTTATTTTTAAGTAACACTTCCCAGTCTATTTTTGACCTGCTGTGCAAACAGTAGGCCCTTCCTTTCTTTTCCCCCGCTTTCCCCTAAAGCACTGCCTTTTGCACGTGGCTTATTTTGCCATGTTTTGGATTTCAGCTATGGAGTTTTGTTCTGGGTTTGGGTTGGGGGTGTGTGTGTGCTGGTTTTGTTTTGCATAATCATGCTAACTTCCCTTTCTGGTTTGCACGGCTCTTTTGCATAGCAACAGTGGAATGGAGAAACAGTTTGTTATTTGTTTTGTTTTTTTGAAAAGGAAAATGCAATTAGGAAATCTTCAATTTATTTAAAAATTCTTTGGACTTGATGCTGCATTTACTCATTTAAATAGAGATAAATTAACAAGCAAAAAGGCCAGGCTGGATGAGGCTTTGGGCAGCGTGGTCTAGTGGAGGATGTCCCTGCCCACGGCAGGGGGGGGGGAACTAGAAGATCTTTAAGGTCCCTTCCAACCCAAACCATTCTATGATTCTATAAAATTGCAACAAACAGAGCTGACTAAAAGTTATAGCCCTACGCTATCTCCACTCCATTGTGTAAAATGTTTAACAGACTCAACGAATAAGTGAACACAGATTCTTAGCATTAGGAAAAGCCTGTTTACCAGTAAATCTACAAGGGATGCCTTTAACTGGAAAAAAAATCTTATTTCCATGCAGGCAAATTTAAGTACTGCCCTTCCATCTGTGCCTATTGATCATTCTCCAACCCTCTACCAACAGAAGTGCGAGATGGGGTCAGCCAGCAGTATAACCATTACCCCACCATTACCACCTTTTCTGATGGGTGTAACAGAGTTAACAATTCACCCAGCTCCACACATGAGGAGACCAAGCAGGACACACAGCTGGGAAACCTGGTGACATTTTATAGAATCAGGCCTTAAGTGAATAAACTGTCAATCACACATGGCTAGATTTAAACCTCAAGAAAGGTCCAGGGAAGTCGAAGCTACCCACAACCACCATGGTCCAATTCTGCGTATTCAATTGTAAGAACAGACTATGGACTAACTAACATGATACCGTTCATAACCAGATTACATCTGAAGGGTAAAGGCTCACAGAAATTTTTTACATTGTATCAGATGCTTACAAGATGCTCCCCATAACATGGTAATGTTCTTCCCACATTGCCTTTAGCCTTGGTTTCCAATAAGATCTTTCACTGCAGTGCTGTCTAGGAGTTTTGGAATAACTTAAGTATCAAGGCTCCTACAGCTGAAAAGGCAACAGGCTTTTGATTATACAAGCACTTCTCTAATGACTAAGCTCTATGTAACTTTTCATTTCACATGCAAACACAGTGCATAAGACCTACAGCACCAAATCCGGCATACAATTAGCGTGCAATATACACATGGGAGCACAAACTCCACACACAGCAGTCGTCAGGGAGGTCAAGTGTATTCTTCCAGCTGTGCCCAAGGCATACCCTATGTTAAGATTTGGTTCCTACCTATGTCCCTTTTTAAAGCTAGAAGTTAAGTCTTGGAAAAAGGTGTCTCATGGTCACCCCTGCAGTTCAGCAAAATAATGGATTTTTACTTTTGAATATTCACTGATGCTAAATAAAGAGCATAAAGGTATGGCAGCAGCTGCGTGGGGTCTTTTTCAGTGCTCTAGAGAGACAATGTTCCAGTCTCAACATCATCAAAATGCCACTGCACTTCACTGCAACTTTACAGAACTTGATAAAGCTGAACATTTCAATAAAGTAGATGCAATTTCAGGTTATAAAACTCATCCAAAGAGCACTTGCAACACATTGCTACCCCGAGGGAGTCATAACTGCTGAAGGCAATGCCTGCTGTTACCCATACAAGGAATGTCAACACCCCAAGCCCATGAGGCCAAAAAGCAGAACCTCAACATTTCAGATGAGAGCTGAAAAGCAAAACACGTTTTCTCCTCCTCCGCTGCCAAAAGAGCAGGTGTGTTGGTTTTGCGTGGCAAGGT